CCGCGACGAGCGCGGCCGAAAACGCACCCCAACAGCGGCGCACGGCAGCGGCGGCAGCAACCTTCGGCCTGGGCCAGCAAGTCCGGGGCCCAGGGCCTTAACCGGCCCCCGGGCCGTAGGTTGCCAGTCCCTGTTCTAGAATAATGTATTCCTGACGTTTCACCTGCATCTGTAGCTGGCATCTTCATAGAAGGCAAAACGTCACAGAATAATAGAATCATAGAGTTGGAAGAGACCCCCAAGGGCCATCCAGTCCAACCCTGTCATGCAGGAACTCAAAATCAAAGCATCCCCGACAGATGGCCATCCAGCCTCTGTTTAAAGACCTCCAAAGAAGGAATACATTCTTCTAGAATACAGCCTCACAGCCCAAAAACCCCCATAAGAACCTATGGATGCCGGCCGTGAAGGCCTTTGACTTCAAATGGTTTGTTTGTGTTTGTTTGCTTGATTCTATCCCACCTTTCTCCCTGAAAGGGACCCAAGGCAACTCACAAATAAAAATTCTAAAAACATATTACAATCGACCCTCCATTCTCGCAGGGGATCTGCTCCGGACCCACCCACCCCCACGAGAACGGAAAATCGCATATATTCAAACCCCATAGGCTTGAATGGAGGCGTGTGCCCACAGGTGTTCAGCAGGTGCGCACCCCATTTTGTACCCCTCTGTTTGCTGCCTGTTCAGCTCCATTTGCCGATAGGCAAGGAACGCAGATCTCAAGTCTACGAGAATGGAGGGGAAACTGTTCAGTAAAACAATTAAAAATATAATCTAAAAACACTATAAAATTTCAGATATTAAAACCACACTAAAACCATGATACCCATCCTATATAACAAACACCCAAGCCACCCCATGATTATACATTAAAAGCCTGCCTGAATAAGGCCGTTTTTGCTTGTCGACATTAACATCCAAAATCTACAAAACAGTGATGCCTTTGGTAGAGATGGAGAAATTAACAAATTATGTCAAGGGAAATTCAGATGATTTTTTTTGTTTTAAAAAAGGAAGCCTTTCACACTTCACATGCAGAAATTAAAGAAGGAATAATGTAATTATGGGATTCAATGTTTATTTTATTTATTTATTTATTCCACTTCTTTGCCGCCTTTCTCCCCAAAAAGGGACCCAGGGTGGCTCACAAGACAAAACATTAGTAAAACATTATTCAAAATTTGTTTAGAAAGCAAAAGTAAAGTTTTTCTATTCAAGAAAGAAATGGAGGTATGTATCATAGTATAGATAAATGTTGAAAAATAAATGAGGATAATATAATGTGGGAAAGTGTAATTGGGATATGTGTTATAGTGGTGGTTAGAGGATAGAGGGAAGTCTTATTTTAATGGAGAGTAGGGGAAGGAGGATAAGGGATATTAGGATGGGTTTCTTTTCTTTTTTTTCTTTTTCTTTTTCTCTCTTTTCTGGCTCTGCTTTTTCCTTCTTTTGTTTAGTTATCTTTTTGTTTTCTTTCTCTTATTCCCCCCCCCATCTGTTTTTATGTCTCTATGTTTTTGTTTATGATATAGCCAATATATGTATGTTGGTTTTTTAACTTTTGAAAATGATTAATAAATATTATTGGGGGGAACAGTGATACTTTTCTTGGGCCAACCAAAATGCACAATGCACATGTTGCATGCTTTCAAAGCTCCACTAACTTTTTCATCTGGCAAAAATCATATCGGGGGGGGGGAATGACAATGTTAGTCATAAGCCTGCATTTTGTCAAGATCTTCTTCTCCTTGTTCTCAGTATCTTTTTGTGTAACTAATGGAATTATAGATCAAGAACCAGAGGAACTATGGTCTGAAGCCAGGGACATAATA